ATGAAACTTCCAACAACTCATGACAGCAAAGTTAGCCAGAGGCAAAAACCTGGTGTGAAGAAGTTCAGCCTAAATTATTATATTTGGCAAAGTTGTAAGACAGTGAAAGAGATAATCTTAAAAGGGGAAGTTTTGAATGACCTTATTGCTATGCGCTGCAGCTTGTGGTGTCTATAATAGGTTATTTCCAGAGCATCCGAGTGTCTTCCAGTAGTGCATTAAGCAATGTAACTAACATCTGTCACGAGGTTAATTTTCCCTCTCATCTCCTCCCTGGAGGGAAATTCTCTCATTTCTTAACCTCTGCTGGACCCCTACTCAATAAATGTTCCTTACCTCAAGAGAAAAAGGAAAAGCCTATCAAAAAGAAAAAAAAAAGAAAGAAAAAAGAGAGATAATAGATCTAAGATTCAGGCTGGTTTGGTGACATTTTTTAAAGTATTTTTTGCCAAGAAAAACAGTAATTTCTTTTAAATTCCTTTACATGCTATTTAAGCACTGAAAGGGAAAGACAAATTAAAATTATTGAGCTATTTTTCCTTCGCTCCTGATTATGCAGCAATTTATCAACAAAATGGAATAAGAACATCTGACTGGGATTATTTATTATACAGTAAGGCATTTATTTTTTGTTCACTCCACCAGGAACAGTGTCCCTCTTATGGCTAGTTAGACATCTGTGTCCTAAGAGCTTTCAGGGAAGGATTAAACTGTCATTTGTTTTATTTCCTTTCATGAAATAACTGTCCTAACAGGGCTGAGCCAAGACTTGGATACTGCTGGACTTGCTACCTTAAGGTGGCATGAAAAGGAGTAACTGGATCTTCCCTGGAGCGAAAGCAAAGCAATGAAAAGTTTTGGGTTTGGTTTTGTTCTTTTAGTCTCTAGACTTAGTAACAGGCTGTACTGCTACTGAAGGAGGCTCCTACTGGAAATTGCATAGATTAGGCAATCTCCATGCCATGCTTAGGCAGGAGTGGAATTATCTGTGGATTGTGTTTGGTGGTGGGTTGTTTTTTTTTTCCTTTTAAATCTGATTCATTCACTACATTTAGCCAATATGGCTTGGGGTCAAGCACTGAGAGAATCTGCAGCTAATCATGGCTGGAAGTGGGACGCTGACGAAAATGAACAGAGAAGGAAGAGGCACGTCATGTCATCCAGGTAAGGGTTTGCCAGCCCTCACCCAGTGATGCACAACTCCACGCGCAGAAGGCTGGCACTGTTCTCACACAGGAGACTGCGGCATGTGGCATCCCTTTCCCATCTAAAGCTCCAAAAGTGGGTCTAAAACCTCTTTGTCTGAAAAGAAGGAGCAAAATAAGATGCCTGATTTAGAGAAAGATAATTTGTGCCCTCAGTAAGAGCAAACATGTGGGAAAACTATTTGCTGGAAGAATGTACCTTGCGGTTATTGCCAATGGTTTTGATGGGCGTATCTGTGCTTTGGATAGCTTTATGGCTGCACAGTGGAAACTGCTCATAATGAATAACATCTATGTTTCTCTAACACCTTTTGCTCAGAAATCAAAAGCACTTTTCAAAGAAAGAGCCAGATTTTGAATGTGTGATGCTAGCAACTCCTCATGTCACACTTTGACGGACTGATTTTTTTGAAACAGCTTGTTAGTCAAAGCTCTCCGGCACTTGTTATGCTCTAAGTGACAACTGAGCTCTTAAAAAATGTGACCCACACAGCATTTCACCACTGAAGGGCAACTGCCTCTGGGGTGGAAGACGCACACCCTGGAGCAGCTGGCACCAGTGCTGTGCTGAACCTCTAACACCAAGGAGGGCGAGCCCTGCTCTTACAACAGGTGCCAAACATTTATAAGGCTCAGATACTGGTTTTTCTCAAGGTCTTGGTTTCAAGGACCATACACAATATTGTGATGAATTCTATGTATCGCCTTTGATAGACAGAAAGAGCTGATCTCTCTTGAGTAAGTGGGAGTTAAAGAACCACATGTCTCATAGGAACCATCAACTCCAGCTCTGGAGAGTGCCCTGGCAGTAGCTGTTCTGACACAGAAAACAGCACTATTGCAGCAGAATTAAAATACAGACATCTATAGGATGTAAAACTTTTCTAACAGTTACAATAATAAGATCACAAATAATATCCATTCTTCCCTAAAATTTCCTACATTGACTAGTTCACAGCAAGAAAATGTTCAACTTTTATGCCCATCACTTTCATGTGCAGTCCCTGTGTCTGGCCTGGACGTGCCTGCAGGACATCCCCAGTACAGCGCCAGGGAAGGAGCACCTGCAGCAAATTTAGGGGTTACACAGACATATTCTTGCTATGATGTTTGCTCAGGGGAAGCTGAGAAGATGAAATCACTTTCTGAGAAGCAGCTGGCTTAACATGGGCAGGGACATCATCAGAATTTAATTTCTTTTGCTGACTTATGCAACAGTGAGCCCCTTGGTCTGCTTCTCTGTCATTCCTCTGTGCTACTGGGAATCTGCTAAGACACTTGTGTGAGGTTTGGGCTTTCCAATCTGTGCTTATATGTCCAAACTGCTCCCGAAGTTGCAGGAAGTTTATTCCTATCAGGTACTTAACCTCAGTTTTCTTAGAAAAATCACTGCAAGTATCTCCCTTCAGAAACCTACTACAGACCATATCTAAGAACTGAACACCAAACATTCTCCAGAAGACTGAGATTTTTAGATTTAAAATTCTCAGGTTTATGCTGAAATAGCAAGCTAATAAAAAAATCGTTATCATTAGGTCTGGGTGAAAGGTTTTGATCATGGCAAAAGTACATTCCAACACAGTTCAAAATAAAAATCTCAAGGGTTTGAGCCCCTCCATCTCAAATCTCCCGCTCTTCTTCCTCTCCCTGTGCTTCTGAAGAAACGCAGGAAAGAAAACTGAAAAACGCAAGGGAGAAAAAATAATTTTGCTCTTTTCAACAGCCTCCAGCTGTGACAGGCTGAGTAAAGAGGTAACACATGAAGGCAAATATGGCTTATATTTTAGGAATTTCCATGATTTTTATGGATTGCGTTGATGAGAAATGCATTTGTGCACTCGAATACCAGTGACATTTTTGTTGTGAGATATACTTTGAATAATTCCCTTGCAAAAAGTATGGCCATATATTCATTAGAAATGGAAAGTCATTCTTGAAGATCTAAGCTTCTAAATGAATGGTATTTCAACAAGTAAAGGTGGTAAAAAATGATTCTCCAGTTAACCATCCTCAAAACTAAAATATATGATTCCATTCTAATTTCAATTCCCAGTCATGCCATCCTCAATCTTAATTATAAATGGTCTGCCACTTATCAAATCATTCTCTGTACACTGTACAATCTTCACCCTTAATTGCACAAATATTTTATTTTTGGAGCAACATAGCTCAGCAACAAGCTTCATTTTTCTTTCGGTGACTTAAGTTTCTATTAAAGTAAAACATTTATAAAAGTTCTGGGTGCACAGAGAGAAAATTAGTTGCTCCTCGGTGGCTAACAGTTTTTCACTAATCACAATGCAGCTCCACATCACTCAGAGCAGAGCAGCGATTAAAACTGTGCCTGCAACAAAGCAACATTGTACACAGCGATGACGTGCTCCAGTCAAAAGCGTCTCCCCTTCTTGTTATGATTGGTATTCCCCAGATGTTTGACTTTGAGCTCTAGTTTGGCAGGCGAGGCTTTGTGGCTGCAATTCAAATCCCAGGCTTGAGCAGCTCCAGTGTTTATTCTCATAATTTACACTTTGTGATGGCTTATGGACAGTTATGTACTTGGTTTCATAGCCACCACTTCAAACCAAGGGCCTGATCCTGCCCTTACGGAGTTAGTGGTAAATGCTTCCCCAATTCCAGCACTGGCAGGAGGCCCCAGATGACTAAACCATCTCTCAAAGCAAACAAGTCAATATAAATGAACAATTTAGTTTAAAAACAATTTTAAAAAGTCTGAAATCTTACTTACTAGGAAGTCTTCTTCACAGTACACCTTGCCATTGACATTGTAGAATGCTTTTCCTCGTAGTCTTCTCCCTGTTAAAACACAGTAGGGTCAGAATTTTGTGCTTTGCCCTCAAACTCCGCTGTTCAGGACGCAAAGTGAAAAGCACATGCTGCTGCTGCGCCGGTCGGCACGGCCCGTTCCTGTCCCACTCCTCCCCAGAGGGTCTATCCGGAGACATGGGTGAGGCTTCAGCTCTTGGCTCCATCACACCTTAAGAAATTCCTTATCAACCAAATGTTACTTCTAAGTGCGGGTGATGAAACCCATCTGATACCAGTTCCTGGAAAATTTGAAATCTGAACCCAAAAATTATTATTCTGGGAGCTAGGCTAAATTAAGTCCATTTTCTTAGGAGGTGAAATCGCAGCAGGGATACCTCCACTGCCATCAACACCAGCAATGTGCTTGTCTCCAAAGGACCAGACAAGGGATACTGCACATGGATGTTCCTGTCACCTTTAAAAATATTAATACATTAAACAGCACCACAGCAGCTACACCCACTGCTCCCTGCAATACTAAAGCAGTACAAGGCACATGTGATGGAGGGAAGGGCAGAAAAGTCACTCTGAAAACGAGAGATTTTGTTTTCAAATTTAAGTATTTGCTGTTTCATTACCACTTGTTGAACTGCAGTGACAAAGCCATCGTTAACCAATGGCTCTCTTTACAGCTAGGAAATGCATGACGACTCCAGAAGACTCAAGAAAAAGGATTAAAACCAGCAACTCAAAACCCACCAACCCCAACCAGTTTTTAGCTATGGCAGATCAGATCTGTCTTACACCAGAGCTGCTCCGTTGAAACCAATGCCATTTGATCAGTGCAAAACCAGGGAGGGAGAAGGGAAACCATGCGCACCCTGACTCACCCTATTTCCACTCTGTGCCCAAAGCTCCCCAGCACTTGGGTGCCTCACAAGCCATCTCAGCCTTGGCAAGCAGAGGGCTTCGTGCCCACCAGGGGATGCGTCCAGCTGCTGAGAGCAGTGACACAGAGCAAGGAAGAGGGACTGAGGCTCTGTCAGGTTTTACAGGTCAGCAGATGACCCCTCCCAGGTCACTGCCGAAGCTTTTACTCCACAGAATAAGCCCAAACATCTCCTACTGAGGCAGTGCAGCTCCACCATAAACACCGCCGGTCTTTGCGGAGGGTTTGACTCTGAGGGCTGGCGAGCTGAGCCAGCTGGCCAAGCACAGAAGGGCAGGAGCACTCTCCACGGTTTCCATAAACAATGTTGAGGAAAATATGATTAATTTTCAGTGCTTGAAAGTGCCTTTTACACATTGCCACTGTGATCTGATCCTGGGAAACAGTGTGTGGCACAAAGAAGTTGGGATCTGCGCTGATGCTTTTGGGAAATCACATGCTGCATGTGGTTGTCTGGCGGTTTTACTGTCGTGGCCCAGGGAAATGCTTCTTTTGTGTGCACATTCTTGGGCTGTCGATCTCACGGGCTGCTGTCTCCATACTGCTGGTAGGTGGAGTCAGCTCTTGTTTGTCTTTCCAGCTGCCTGGTAGCTCTGGTGGAGACCAGGAGCCTGGTGGCGTGAACCGTGCTCTGAGACTGTCCCATCTCCTCTGAGACTCTTAGGTAGGGCTGGGCCACCCTACATGTCACACGAACAAGGCACAGGGCTGGGATGGCAATCAGGAGGTCACGAGGCCTCTCTCGACTGATGCAGGAGCAACCACCTCTAGATTTTCCCTACTGATTACCCAAGCTGTTTTTAAACCTCTCCAGTGAAAAACACATGGAAGGGAGAGAAGGAGAGGAAAGAGGCAGAATAGCTTTTTAAAGGACCTCTGCTGGACCCAGCCTTGATACACAACTTGTCTTTAGATGGTGGAAACAAAGTGGCTGCACCCAGAACAGGGACTTGTCTTGGACATACTGATGTGGCACTTCCACCTTGCTCACACGCACCGCCAGCGCAGAGGTGGGGCACTGGTTTCAGGTGGAGAAGCACTGGCCATCACCCTCACCACACACCCATTACGGTTAGAAGCATCAAAGATAATTAGGGAGAGATCCTGAACTCCGTTGCTGGAAGGATGTCTGCAGGAAAGGAACAGCCTCATTTGAGGCGGTGTCAGCACTCCCCAAAGCACTGCGCAAGGTGTACAAGGACCTGTACATCCATCCTGCTTTGCATCCCAGCACGCAGAGCCTGGCAGCGGTGCCATGAATCCTGGTCCTGTTGTCTCCTTAGCACAGCATCAGTGGCACAAGCCAATGGGGTCAGAGCTTTCCTGGACCGGGAAGGAGAGCAAAGCCTATGACCCACAGCAAACAAGGCAAACTCGATGTTTTCGACTGGCTCTCAAAGACACTTAGGTTACCAGATGCGCTTGACAGCTGATTGCCCCACAATGTGAAACAACCTCACCTCACGCCAGCGCAGCAAAGCTGTGGGCCTCCATCCCAGCCACCGCACAACACGTGAGCCCCTGCTCACCACTCACACCTGCTCTGCAAGGCCCCCCCTTGCCAAACCCAGACGGACAGACCTCCCCTCCCATACAGCTGACGCGATAACAACACCTGTTTTATACACCACTTGCAGAGCAACACCTTTCAAAATGGAGGAAAAATACCATTTTTCCCATTTTACAGCTAAAAAAAACCGGGCCACCTATTAGGGAACTGACTTGCCTAAACTCATAAAGCAGGCAAGCAGCTTGCTCACATGATAATTACTATTATTAGCAATAATTAATAAGATTGACAGGCCTTTTACCTTAGAAGAATTTCAATCATAGATCATACGATAATTATCTCATAAACAAGAGCGAGCAAGGTATCACACAAATAGACATGGCTGCACTGTATGGGCTTCTACACACCACATTTGAGAAATAAAGGCAAAACCATAACGTCCATTTGCCCTCCAGAAGAGTTAGCTATATGACAGTGAACGTGGTCAGACACCAAACCCTGTGAGTGGCTGGGCATCATGTGAAAACTGCAGTGAAGAGGAACATGCTGGCAGCTGCAGCAGGAGACACAAAGCCCAAGGAGATGCAGCACTGGTACCCCCAGCCCCGGGCAGCCGTGCAGGGGACGGGAGCATGGCCCGAGGTCAGGGTACCTGCCCCCAGCCTCGTGCACTGGACAAGGTGGTTTCACCTCTGAAGCCTCCTGGAGTAACTCAAGGGCCTTGCACCACGCCAGCCTGTTCTGTGTAGCCATAACCCACCATTATCAATCAGGCAGTGATTACAAGTTAAAAAACCTAATGTTGCTTTGGCCTGGCCAGCTAGACAAGGTAATTTCACCCTGCCTGCCGGTGTGCAGGACCTGCTGCTTGGCTTGCCTTGGAATGGCTGAGCACGGCAAAGCCCACGTTACTATTTGCTTTCATAATATTGAAACAAAAAAGCCAAGAGTTTCTGAAAATACTTGATGCAACTTGCCGATAGCTCATTATAATAATAATGAGCAGTTATAATGAGCAGCCTAGCGCAGAATTCACAAGTCTGGGGTTTCACAAACACTGTGCTGCTTTCCTCCTCCTGCTGGGTACCCACCTTGGCACGGCCGCCCTGTCAGACCAGTTTTCAACAGCAGCAAAGAAGAGGCTCCGTTTCACACCCGAGCAGAAGAGGAGCAGGTCGGCCAGAGCGGGCAGTGGGACCACGGGATGGGGCAGAAGCTGCCCAGCCTGCAGCCAGCATGCAGGCACCCAACAGTAGCCTTTATGGGGAAGCCTATTTTCCCCTCAGTGCTCTTTAGCCTGGTTTTACTGTAGAAAAGCTTACTAGAAGCTTATGCACTCACAGTGCCAACAAATCCTTGTTGCAAGTAACTTCTACATTTCTTGACTGACACACACACGTTTGAGGGGTAGCAAGTGCCAGGATAAGGGCGTTCCACCCCTGAGGTGGGAGGCAGAGACCACGCAAATGCTCCAGCAAAGAGTGCAGATCCACTTAGATAATCTAGTAGTTAGTAAAATGCCAGATAGAAATTATCCTGTCCCAAGGATCTACCATGATTGGTGTTTGATTCTAACATGACAAACATGCAAAAAACCGCAGGCTTTTGGAACTTTTAAAAAAATGCCTAAAATCAGAATCAGCTCTAGGTTTTTAACATCAACTTCACATTTAACCTGTTTATGAGCGACTGGTATTTAAAAGTGTCTAGAAATTACTTCCTGCACAATTGTTATCTGTGTATTGCAAACCGAAAGGAAGGAACAGGAGTGCTGCTGCTTTAGCAAAGGACTTGACTCAAAGATTCAGCTTGCAAAAGGAAAAACGACCCACAGTTGACACAGGCTGTCCACAACTATTCTCTCCAGTCTCCATAGCACTTTGCTGGGTGGTGAAAACACACCAGCCAGGAAGCCAAGATGGGGTGAAACTTCTTCCAACTCAGTCTTAAAAGCTGCTCTAGGCCCTCATGGGACAAAATGTGAATCAGACTGGGTTTTATGGTCCTGACAAGGTGCTCCGAAAGAGCACTGAAAACGTTCTGTCCCCTCCCCACAAGCCCGAGAGGCATCTTCAAAGCCCTCCCTGCCGCTGCTGGCAGCAGAGTATTTGCCTATAGGGAGGTGGGTTTATCGAGTCGCAGTCTTCAGCGGTAGAGCTCCAGTCTCATGTTGGATGATGCAACTGTGTTGGGGGCTAACACCCCCCCTCGCCTTTGTAAGACAAGAGATAGCGATGCCTCACTGTCACAGCGTGGTTATTAGACCTAATTACTGTTTGCAGTGTGCTTTGAAGTTGAAAAGTGCCACACATTATTATAATATTTTAAGTACTTTGATGATTAAAAACATGCAACCGTTGGGTAATAATCATGATTTACTAGTAGTGTAGTGTAAGCAAGTTCATGTGAGAAGCCTACACTGTCTCAGTGCCTGACGCTACTTAAAAACAAACAGCTCCCCACTGACATAATGGGAATGCTGCATCCCCAGCCTCACCTTCCCGATAACGCCTGCTGCGTCCTGAAACTACTAGCACATTGCAAAAAATACACTTGGGTACCTCCTTGCCATCATCTCTCTCGTGATAG